TGAGCGACCGTCTTGGCGATCGACGAATTGACATTGGTGATAGCGACGACCGACTGGCGACTGCTTTGTTTTAGCGCTTTGCACCGTTGACACAGTCGACTCTTGCATTTTCTGGACGACGATCTTCTGAGTTTGAACCTGCGGCTGTCAGTTCAAGGAATGACGACATTTTGTACGATTGACGACATGACTGTTTTGTCCTTCAGCTGCACTTACAGCATCATTGTTATCGTTTAGTGCATATCGGCGAAACGACGTCTTGAATTACTTGATACTTACAATGTTGGTATAAAAAGTGCCCAGTAAGAAATGACTAATTGAATTGGTATCAAATTGACATGACGAAGTCAATTTAATATCAATTACATATCTAATTGTCGGTCATTTCTCGCTGGGTTAGAACCTTCGTTCCAATTTAAACTGAGCACAACGAATATGAAATCCAAACGAGCGGTGACATTTGTGCTACATTGCGAGATGTGGCTTTCATTTAGAAGATAATGGAATGTTATATCAATGAAAAATATTAATTTTTAAACTTAAGTATTTTTTCTGAGAAGTCGCATGTAATTTTTAGAGAAACTTTTAGGAAGAATACGTTCTGTGTTGAAACGTGAGTGTTGGATTGCGTGAAGTTACATTAGAGGACTGAACTGAGACTAAATGGCGTGAAACAGCGTCGTATGGACAAATCTTGAAAAATTCCTGAATACATATTCTCCATGTTTGTTTATAAAGAATTATCACGCTACGATTCCATAATAGTCTAAGATTTTATTAACATTTATACACACCAAGATTGCGTTCCGATATTAATTGCCAGTACTGAAAATTTATGGTACACGTAATGTGTACTATAGATTTGAAGTACTCACAATGAATATCGAAACGCAATCCAAACACGTACATTAAGTTTAACAGAGAATAAGAGACCAACGTGAAATATTTTATCGATCCATTGCATGAAAAATCATGTTATAAAAGTTTACAGCCATAGAAAAGTAAACCAAACAAAAAAAAACTAAAAAGGAAAATGAGGTGCCCAAGAATATATGCTGTTAAAAAAAGCAATAATAATCACCACCAAACAGCAAAAGCTGTAATTAAGCCTCTCTGAAGTTAAAATAATTTTTTTAACTCTATGCTGTAGATAATACAATTTATAAATTAATAAAAAATTAAATCAATTAATTTGGCTACTGAGAGATTTAGTTACAAATCCGAGGACGTAGAAGGATGTTCATCAGCACCAAACAAACGTAAAAAACATGAATTTTCTGTTGCATTTGTCTTATACAAATTCTCGGACATGAGAGCATAAATGTCGAGCATCAACTATCATGGTTCGAGCTGTTTCTCCTCTCGCCCTCGGAATTGATTTAAACACGCATAAAGATTGAACGTTATTCGGATGAAGTTTATTACGTTTCTTGGTTTTTACGTCTGCCAGCATGGAAAACACTTTTTTCGCATCAGCATTAGAATTTGGAAGAGATCGAATTGTATTAACTAATTTACTTAAAACTGGATATCTAAATTTTCCATCTGCCTTTTTAGTTGCCATTATTGTTTTCCATGCTTCATCAAAATGTAAATTAATTATTGTCGCTTTCTGCTCTGATGTGAAATCCTTTTTTAGAAATTGCCATTCTTCTTTTAATATCTCCTCATCAAATCCGCCGAATCGTTGGGCAACAAAAATAACATCCTGAACGGAGTTGTTCGGGCTGTTTTTTTTTCCGTCTTCTTGCTGCAAAGCAAATTTAGGTTCAAAGATCCTCAATTTACTCAGAAATTCGTCCTTAACAAAAAGTTTGTTACGAATTTCTTTGGCAGCGATGTCATAGAATACCAAACAATTGTCGGGAACTGTTTTGACAGTCTCACCCTGACCTTTCTGATTCAATCGATCAAGAAGATCTTGGAAAGCTTCTCCAACCATAAATTAATCAGGAGATAGACGATTACATGCAAGCAAAGGATTAATATTGTACCCATCGAAACAAAATTTAAGGGTCCAGTCTCGTTTGTTGGGTCAAAAAACAGGCATTTTTGATGAATTTTTTGTAGGGAAAGTAAAGAATATATCACCTTGAATCTTTTTCACATGTATTTATAATACTTTTAATAAGTTTGTAAAAAAATTTGAGCTCATTTGATCAATTTCCGGCGGCGTGACACGGGACGACGTACACCACTGC